TTAGAAAATTAATCCATGGGCTTTTTGATCTAATTTATAGCATGTGAACCACAGTTGGGTAACCCAACCGCCTGCCCCCACTGCCTGGAGGCTAAGTGGCTCTCTAGCTTCAGTCTTTACCATAACGGGGTAACCCTTTAATGGGGTTTTGCTTTATTTTCCATTTATTCCAGTTTCTGTGTGCACAGACGTACAGAAGACACTGCAGGACATGCTGGTTCGTATGCGTCGGCCCATATGTGCACTGGCGCATGTATTTATTATCAGGAATATATTACACTTATCTGTACATCATAACTGAAATAATACAAACTCTTCCTGTAATCATTAGCCACATAGTAAATGGGACCACAGAACTCCTGCTGCGTGGGAAACTGTACAGAGGCTCCTCACCGTGTCCATGGGACACAACCACCATCAGTGCAGAGACATTAAATACCTGATTTTTGCACTTGATAGGTTCTTTTTTCCTCCCCTCCCACCCACCACCACTGCAACTCTGCCACTGTGCACCTGCTGAGCTCACCCCTCTGTGCCGGCAGCCACGGGAGGTGCCATCCCAAAGGGACATCACAGTGCTTTCCTGCAGAAAACCAGAGCTTTCCTGCAGCTCCCCCAGCTCTCCACATCCCCCGCTTGTCGCTGGCTCTCCTGCTATCCCACAGCTGTTACCGGCTCCTGGTGTTGGTATCTGGAGCCCATTCAGAGCAATTGTTGGCTGGTTTTATTGCCGCTGCAGCCTTCTGTATTGAATAAAGATTAACCAAATCAAACATCTCCTTTTTATAGATGTAAGGGCAATAAAACACAGCTCAGCGCCGCTGCATTCCCTTTCCTGCCAAAGGCCTCCCATCCCTGCAAAACAGGAAAGCCCTTGTGGTGGCCATGGCATTTGGGAAGTCTCCAGCAAAAGCTTCCCCTTGCTTGTCTTTGAGCAGGTATGGCCAGGGAGCAAGGACTAGGGATGTGGCCCCCACAGTGCTGGGAATGCCACGGTGAGCTTGCATGGTCGCAGTTCCTGGGGAGAGCTGTGGTCACTGGCTTGGCCGCGCGCTCGGGGGCATCACTGCATTTCACATCTACTCTGGCATGCAGAGGCAAGGAGGGCCAGGACAGAGGAAGAGCAGAAAAAAGGAATTACCTTTTTGGGGAAAAATGTCCGTGTTTCTGGGCTTGCACCAGAAGGAACCACCCTTCACACCCTCACAGCGATGGGTTGCTTTCTGGTCAGGCAAAACTTCCTGCAGCTTTGCTAGTCATCAGGCAGGCCCCAGAGGCCATGCCAAGGAAGAATCCAGTGAGAGGCAGGATTGGGAGGCGAAAATTAGATAGGAAAGGGATTGGCAACGATACCAAATGAGGGTAGAGCTGTGATCGGTCCCAGTTTTCCTACCATAAAAGCCCCACTCCCAATTCACTGCTGGAAGCATCTCTTACATATGAATTTAAATCAATAAAGTGATAAGGAAAGCACCAGAAATACAGGGAAA